ACAACAGTGAGAGGCCCGCGTACCACAAAAAAAAAAAAAAAAAACCACTGCCATAGTTGAAGATGAAGAGGAGGCTGATGACAAGTGCCGCGTTTGAAGGCTAGCGTGTTAAAAAAAAAAAGTGACAGTAATAGTCAGGAAAGGCTTTATACTTGTATAAAGCTTTAAGCATGCACTACATTTAATCCTCACAACCAGGAAACTCCTGAAGTTGGGAGGGGCCCCCAGAGACATTGCATGTTAGTTCCCTCACCTGATTGTCATTCCTTAATCATGCTTGAAGGGAAACTAGATTGCAGGCTTTTCAAAATTATTGGAGCAGAGGGAGTCTACAAACTTGGTTCTGAGTTTCCTAGGACGGCCATAACCAAGGATGACAAACTGGGTGACTTAGAATAACAGAAATGTATCCTCTCACAGTTCTAGAGGCCGGAAGTCCGAAATCCAGGTGTCAGCAGGGTTGGTTCCTTCTGGGGGTTGTAAAGGACTCTGCCTTTACGTCCATGCCTCTCTTTTAGCTTCGGTGCTGGCAATCCTTGACAGTCCCTGGCTCATAGATCGTCACTTCAGTCTCTGCCTCCATCTTTAAATCACCTTCTTATCTCTGTTTCTCCTCTTCCTGTCTGTGTGTTTTTCTGTTCTTATAAAGACACTTGCATTTAGGGTCAGGTCTAACCAGATAATCCAGGATGAGCTCATCTTAAAATTCTTAACTTAATTGTATCTACAAAAACCCTTCTCCCGGGCTTCCCTGGTGGCGCAGTGGTTGAGAGTCCGCCTGCCAATGCAGGGGACACGGGTTTGTGCCCCGGTCCGGGAAGATCCCACATGGCACGGAGCGGCTGTGCCCGTGAGCCGTGGCCGCTGAGCCCGCACATCCGGAGCCTGGTGCTCGGCAACGGGACAGGCCACAACAGTGAGAGGCCCGCGTACTGAAAAAAAAAAAAAAAAACCCTTTTCCCAAATAAAGTCATATTCAGAGGTTCTGACTAGACACATTTTTGGAGGCTGGGGGAACCAATCAACTCACTACCATGTGTTTGTGTGGTTTTACTTTTGAAAGAAGCGTACTAGAAAAGAAATATAATCTAAAGGGAAGTAAA